TTGGTCACCTGAACGCGGGCGTAGCCGCGGGCAATGCTAGTATATTATAAAATAAAAACATTCTGTAAGTGACGTTCGTTCGAAGTAGTTTCGGAGATAAAACATAATTTTTACTACCTACACATTTTAAAATTATAAAAAATATATTTATATAACTCATAACTAGCTTTTGAATTTGATAATCATAAGGTAATTCATCGTTTAGAGAATTTGTTCTCAAAGGCTTATTGTATTTATTTAGTTATGTAAAATCAAAGAGCTATTAGAAATAAATCGTTACGCTAACTTACTAAATAACGCGCGAAATACAATTAAATCTCAATGAAGCAAGTTCCCTAGTGCTTTATAAGTAAATAATTTCAGTTTACTTATTTATTTTACACCCTTCCTAAAGAAAAGGACTGTCTTAGAAAGCTTACAATATATAAATAATTATAAGATAATGTTACAAAGTAAAACCAAAGCTTACAAAAGTTGGTAAACCTGCATGACTCACAACAAGATAGCTCCATCATTAGTTTGACTCAATATTTAAACGAAACAAGTTCCATAGTCAATATTTGGTTTGCCATACAAATGAATACATTTTAACATAATAAAGCTTCCATTTTGACCGCTACTTACGTTTGCATAGACAATTCTCGCTACGCCGGTATATGCCACCGCAGTGGGCATGCTTTCTTCGCTTTATGACTACCTGGTCTAATTAAACATGGTGAGGTAGTAAGAGTCGATTGATGATAAATGCTCGAACAAGTTTAGTAAGTAATTGGGTATTTATATGTAAACTAAAACAATTGAAATATAAGTTACCTAATAGTATTGCTATTTTACTATTTTACAATTGAAAGTTGTCGTTAAAGCAAGGGAAATATGGACATATTATAAATATTAATATATTGCTGTATAAACTATTAGTTTTGCCCGTGGCTCCACTCGCATAGGAAATGGGACGGGGATTCAGTCCTTGCCAAATTTTATTGATATTTATTGATCGAAAAGTTTTAAAATGCAACAAACGGACTAATATTCTTTCATATTTTTCATAATTTAGTGTAAATATTATCTTACTTAGGCTTTTTATCAACTCTTCGCATTATTTTAAAGCGTCAAGTAGCGTTTCTTACTATTTTTACCCATATTTGTATTTTAACATACGCATCTTGTACACAAATAATATACAAAATCTAAATCAAAATTAGGACTTAACCTTAAGGCAAACTAATAAACTACAATTTAATAATAGATATGCACAAAGAGGTTAAAGCGGCGTTATCTGATCCAGTTAGAACTTTTAGTTAAGCTTCTGTTATGTCCATAGAGTAAAGAATAATAAAAATGCCATCTTACCTTTCATTTTCTTTGAAACGTGCTATCTTCAGTATCCCTTCTTTTGCAGAATTTAATAATGTATAATAAAGAGATCTATTAAATTTCATATTATGTAGTATATTCTAGAAATACGGTGTTTATTGTGATATTTTAACCACCGTAACCAAGTATTTTTCAAAATCTTTTAGATAATGTCTGTCGCGTTAGCACTCCTTTAAAGCTTTGCTCTAAGTTTACGACATAATGTTAGTACACAGAACCAATACAATTGTTATGTCAGTTGGTAGTTTACTTTTAGTTCAAATTGGCAATTAGTGTTATTATGAAGTACAATCTTCGAGACTGGTTGTTTTGGAACAATATTGAGATATTGGAAGAAACTTTCAGTAAGCCTGCTCGGAAACAAACTTATATTGAGAAAAATAATACTTATACTTTCTTAGGTTTACGCGAATATTTGACATTTTAAATAAAACTATCTACTATAAAGTCATGGTTACGGAGAGACCCTCTCACATGAAAATGATTGCTGTAAAGCTTTAGAAAGGTCGGGAACAAAATCCGCGAAAAAATCAGAAAAAAATAGTAATAGTGATAAAGAATAATTTATTTATATAAGTATGATGTTTCATGGTTTTCATGGTTTTTTCATGGTTTTATCAACTTATCTAAATATTCCAAGATTCTCAGGAAAAATGATGCGAGCCCTTTACCCCATTTAAAGAAGTTAATATTGCGGAGTAAGGCTGTGTTTTAACGAAAAAATATTGAGTATGAGTGCTAAATGTGAATAATATCGTGCAAATCAATCTAGTTCCATGGTAAGCTACGAGGATTGTGTTATGGATACCATATAAATGATACACTACACATATATAACTTTTAATACATACATATTATTAATATAAACACCCATGACTAAAGTACAAACATTCGTGCTCATCCCACAAATGAATGCCCCCAGCGGGACTCGAATCCTTGACCACTGTCACAGCTAGTAAGTAGGTAAGTAGTAGCACTACAAACTGAGCCAAACATGTCGTCAAATAACTGTTTTGTTACAGAAAACCACTAGGTTTATTAAGATAAAATAGTGTATTGGTGTTTATTTTGTACGTATGATCACATTTATATCTGCAATTTTTTTTTCGCAATTACGCTTCTGCTTATGTTGATAAGCCTTCTTAATTGCTAGTTACATGGCCCAAAAAAACTTAAGTTAAAATAATAAAATAAATCACAGTACCTTTCCACCTTAAATTTATCTAACACTATGTTATAGAAATTTATAAAATCAAATACCATCCCATATTACAACTATAGCAATGAGAGCCAGGAGTGTAGTGACGAAGGGATTTAATAGTCAAATTCACAGATTTTATAATCAAACAAAATTAACTGTAATAAATCATATAAATTTTTTGTCTAATTAAAATTTTAATAAGTAGGTCTTACCACATAAGATATAATATCTCGATCTTTTATATTTTTAAAGCCATTCTTATCTCATTTGTTCTCATAAATAACTTTTAACATTACTTAATTTAAAATTAGATTTTTATAAAATGGAGCCGGTTCCGCTGTCTGTTCCCTTAGATCTTTTAAACTACTTAACGGATTTTAATACAGTTTTCAGCAATAGATTCAAGAGGAAAGTTTATATGTATAATACATGCATATTACAGTACAGAAAACCAAGAAATTCAAGAATATGTATTTCATACTAACCGTTGAAACGTACCTAGGGACGAACCCAAGCGAAGCGAGGGTGAGTCGCTAGTAAACTATAAATTATAATAATATATGGATAACATAAAAATGATAAAATCGTGTTTATATAATTTGAGGAGCCATAACCATACATCACTTATTTATATAAATATGTATCTTTTATCATCATCTTATATACCTAATATCTTTACTAAGTGCATAAATACTGAAGTATTTCATTTTCTTATTAAATTGAAAACTTCTTACTCCATCGCTACTGAAATTATTCTATAATAGACTATGTCAACTTGCTAAGAATTTGCAACTGAATATTAATTACACGACATCTGAAAGGAATTACTCATTCTTTGATTATAGGGCACTGTGTTTACATTAGCATTTAATTGCTTTGATAACTTTCATGACAGAGCAACAAGCTTATAATATCATATCATCCATAGGATAATACTAATATCAATAATCTATACTAATATTATAAAGAGATAAAGTTTGTGAGTTTGTGAAATTGTTGGGTGTAATCTCTGCATCTACTGAACCGATTTAGATGAAATTTGGTAAAAAGATAGTTTGAGACCTTAAAAAGGACAAAGAATACTTTTTATCCCGGAAATCATCCCTTAACGGGGTAAAAATGAAGATGATAGTTTGTATTGGGAAGCAAGCTAGGGACGAACCCGAGCGAAGCGAGGGTGTGTCGCTACTATTATATAATTTTGTATTCATTTGTAACTCTAGTAATCCGCCCAAGCTTTGTTTTATACGTTTCCTTAATAACATCATATATTATGCTTCGTTGCTGAGTGAAATCATAACAAAATATTTAATAAAAAGTTTAATTAACACAATAATTTTCACTTTTGTACCTCAAATCAAAATATACTTTATTTAAATAAACTTTTACACGAACTTTTGAAAGGTCAATTTGTACATTCTTAAAATTTCAATTAACTATCAGTTTTAAGTCCGTGAGAAATCTACCACTGAAAGCTGTTCTATTTCTGTATTATAATTGATTTACTATTTTATAGTTTTTGTCATATCTGTTTAGGATAGATAAAGAGAACTCGATGAACTTACATCACTATTTTGAGCCCATTCTAGCGAAATACTCGATCGATGGTAACTCTTACACTCTACTTGTGTGTATAAAATATTAGCGAATAATAAATTTTGCTATCAAATATCACTAATAAAAACATCCACCTACTATATAATTAAACATTGCACTGAGTATTCACCACGGTAAAATCGCTACAGTATAAAGATTTACATATACTAGAAAGCCAATATATGCAAAAACGGATTCTCAAGTATCTTGAAATACGAAGAATACTTGAAACAAGGCGAAGATAAAATAAATGATGTGAATTTTACAAATTCTTTAACACGTTCCTACATCTTTGAATACTTTAGCGAGGATTAAAAAGGTTTCCAGCGTATGAGCATAATATTATTATTCTTCACAGTCCCTCTGAGCTCAGGGCAAGCTATTATTCATCTTTTTCCAACGAGGGCTCTTTTTTATTGCTAGACATGAAAAATATCAGAAATTTCACCCAGTCTGCTCAAAATAGCGGGATTAATTCAAAAAGCACTTATATTAAATTGAATTTTACTCACAGCGCGAAGGTACCTGGGTCTTAGTTCGGGTTGAGCACATATGAAACATGTATCTCGATTGCTCTACATTCATATGCCAATAATTATGTTATTAATTTCAAGCTGTTTCTATCATTTTTCAATTATAATAATAAGTTGTTTGATTAATAGGTATATAAACCATGCTAGCCACTGGACCCCCGAGGCAGTTGGGGAAGTCCCGGGTTCGAGCCCTGGGTCGGGCCGAGTTTAATTAATGAGTTTTAATGTTAAGATATTCTCAATAGTAGCCTAGAGTTGAAAAGTTGGTGGTATTGCACTTTCGTTCCTCGGAGAGCATGCAAAGTCGTCGATCCTGCGAATTAACTCTCACCGATCATGTCGAAGTATCGTCCCATCGGAATTTGAGAGGTAAAGGAATAGAAAATGCACTTGTGTGAAATCAATAAAGTTATATGCCATAATACAAATACTGATTAACAAAAGTTAAAAGAGCAACTTTCGAATTTCCCATAAACTTTTCCCAGTAAAACCACAATGCGAGTCATAAGTATTATATTATTATTATCGTGGACTATTTGCAATTAACTTGATGTAAACATTTCTAAGTTTTACAGCATGAAATACAATAAGTTTACATTAAATGTAAATTTATAATTTTTATTATTTTACAATTCAATAATAGCAATATTAAACAATTACTATTTAATATAACTTCTTCCGGATCCTATACAGTCAATCTTTTAGCTGAGTCAATATCGTTGACCCCCATGCTATAGAAGTTCCTCCAAAACAACTCAGACAAAGTTAAACACACCCTGTGTTTACTCAAATGCATGTAGGTGGTATTAAGAGGCATAAACGTATAGGCAATGGACATCATTGTAAATTCCTTCACTTATAATAAGAAGCGTATGAAAAACAAACGAGTATTTCGTAGTAAGAAACATGTATATGATTAAAAAATATTTGAGTATAATTGTAAAATACATATATAATGAAAAACATTGTTTTGATTGTTTTAGCGTTTCTAGATTACTTGGTATATTTATTTATCAATAAGAAATGAACTCCAATAACTATATATATATATATATATATATATATATATATATAGTTAATGTATAGAGTTTCTAATCTCTGTTTATAATACGTTCAGAAACGCCTTTGTTTTGTCCACAAAACATGTTCCAATTGTAGGCTGTCACAATGTAAATGGCGTTCCGATTACCATTACAAGCTATTCGAAAGCAATGTTAAATTTAACCGTTAAATATTAGAAGCCTTAATTGGATGAAGAACAATGATGTACCAACGCTAACGTTCCTGCTATTTAACATAGAGAATTCGCGCAGTTATCTAGTCGTGCGTGTGTTCATTAACATCTTGATAAATATTTGTTTGGATACAAGTTTTGTTTATATAAACAAGGCAATAGTAACTAGAAAGTTATAGGATATCGTACATGTACCTCTTGTTTAACAAGCCACCCATATTGGAATGTAACTTTGAGGACGTTGCTTCACTTTGATGACCAGTTGAAATCCTTCAACGAAAATATATTATGTATTTCGAAAAAAATATGCTGCTACTTGATGTTTAAATAGGATAGGATAACATAATACTGTTTTTAGATTTACGCGAATATTTGAAATTTTAAATAAAAATAAATTGTATTTTAATAGACCAGGACTGAAGCCTTTGAAAATAGTAAAAAGTAAAAAATAATAGTAGGATGAAACCCATTGCTAAAGGAAGAGAATATAACAAAAATTTAAGGAAACATAAATTACGGGCGACCTGAGATTCATTTTTCTTATATTCTCTTCCTTTTCCAATAGGTTTCATCCAACTATTATTTTTTTTGGTTTCAAAAATTATCGACCCTGGTCTAAAGAGGATGGGAAAGATAACGCTTCATTTTATACACTTATGTTTTATTTCATTTATGAAAAAAGAGATGTTAGGAAAATGGCATGTTTAAAGTAAGAACAAAGAATCTTGTAACTAACTCTTTAAAATACATTTCTAATAATAATTACATTATCACAAAATAACTGGGACAGCTGACCGTTCTCAAATAATAGAAATTGTATTTAATTATTCAAGCCCAGTGTTGGTGCTTCGCTCCCGTCTGACCTATCATCGCACTTGTATTTGAATTAAATCGGTTTAATATTTAACTTTGATTTTCGCGTTGATACTTAGAGCATTTATACTGCAAGGTTTACGTTTTGAATTATTAATAGACAAAATATTACTTGTTTAAGTATGATCTTGACGTTTACTTTGCTGAGTAAATTATATTTAGTACCTGGGCTGCCGAACTTGGCTCAGAATTTTTGGCCAAAAGTACAATTTTCTATATTTTTTTTAAACTAAAAACTTGAATAACTATTAAAAAAACAAATGTAAAAACTTTGTATGCGACTGAGATTCGAACCTGGACACATGTGGTTGTTGATCTTGCACCTTGGCCGCTTCACCACGATGCTTACGCCTGAGCGTGCAAATTACCAACCATATTTTGCGCGGAATAATGCAAAAGAAAACTGCAAGAAAATTCGAAAACACGTGTTTTTTCAGACATAAGACTAATCTGGATCGATTTATCGCCCCCGAAACCGCCTGTGAGCTAAATTTCATAAAAATCGTTGGAGCCATTTCTGAGATTCAGATTATAATATATATACAAGAATTGCGCGTTTCAAAATATTAGATTATTAGTTTAAGTACTTAACATGAGGTTAGTGTAGTAGTTAGTGACAAATAAACATGTGATTTTACATTATACTTCTTATTAGCATTACAGTACTATGTATTTGCAAGTTCTTAGCGTTGTGTTTTGTTCTTTCCACACCCGGAGAAGTTTTACCATGAGCTAGAATCAAACCCACGTACCGTGTTGAACCCGAATAAACACAGGCTCAACTTAAATTTAAAATATGATATTAATTAGTTAGAAATTAAATATACTCTTTCTTTATTTTCAGTGCATCTACTGAGCGCACTGCGTACACTTGGCTTCCGGATACAAGGATCGAGTTCAGCTCGCCTTACTCCCGCCGAAGAAGTTCCAACTCCACCGTATATGAGAGTGACTGATGGTGTGAGAGCTTCGACCAGCTCGAAGAGGTGCTACTATGATGGACACTAAGTGCCACGTAAAGTGAAAATTGACTGTAAATGTTCGTTGGACTTTTGTGAGACGTCATACGGTTTTACATCGGCTTCATTAAAATCCTTGTATATAACTTCTCTTATATAACACAAATTGTCTAAAAATGAGTTTTTAAGTAGGTAGGTGTAAATACAGATGTGCAAAATGAATGGCGATATCATGTTAAGACGTATTTCAAGACAAAATCTTATTTTACCAATTTAGGCTAAACTTTTACTGAGCACGATCTCAGCAAATTTTACAAAATTTCAGTATGAAATTCATGTTCCTTGCTCGAATCTTCAGAACATCTTTTCCCATAAATTCGCTAATATTCTCGCATTTACTTCGAGCTGAGAGTAAGCGTAAAACTTCTTCTTGCTTACCTAAAATGAATATTTATGACGTACAACGAATAACGCGCCATTTATATATACATTTTGAATATATTCCAGCTTACAAAAAAAAACAGTACCAAAGCATAAAAATATATTATGTTATAATGAAACTAATGTTATTTCAATAATAATAAATATTAGAAAACGCACGCATTCCTATTTATGACAATTTATATTGTATACGAAATTATGTATAATAAATACTATGTATAATATACTGAAACCAATTGTAAAGATCGACTTCAATATTAATTGTTCTTTATTACCTAACAATATTTAAAAAAATATATACTAAGCTTATATTATTTAAATTTCGCAACCTTTGCAACCAATGATGAATTATCTAATATACCTATAGACTTAAAAATTTAAATATATCCCACCTGTATATCTATATATCTGGTACCCCGTGCCATTTTGTAAAAAGTCGTTTTAAGGACCATTTCTCTTAATCTTCTAATTAAATTTGTTAAATATGTACTTAACTTACATTCGATCAATTACGAATTTCATAATATCAGGTAAGTGTAAAAATAGAAAAAAGTAAAGAGTTTCTAACATTTTTTGTAAAGGTAGATTTATTATCAAGATTTACAAACTTTTGTTTTTATCCCACTCTGCATGAAATTATCTCGAAACTTCTTCTGTAACCTTAATTATATAATAAGTACTAAATATATTATAAATATATTACATAATAACTATATAAGATTTATTTTTATAATCTAGAATGTTCCAGGTTTCAAGACACACGATCCTTTTAAATTAAGAGTTGTACAAAATTTGTATGTAAATATGTTTTAGAAATAAGGCTTCTTATAAAAATATTATTTTACTGTAATTATGTATTTTGTCACTGAAGGCTCTTGGAATTGAAAATGTTAGACTGCAAATAGCGTAAGGTGGGAAAGGGACTTGTTACACAAGAAGATTTCATTGATAATATTTTATTTCATTTTTAATATTTTTGTGGCTGCCATAACGCAAATTCTATTTTCTAAGGCTGTTCATCTGCAAAAGTAATAAAATAAGATCGAATGTTATCTATTTATAAAGCGTTTTCGTGTTAAATAAACGTACATAAAACTAAGTTATTAGTACGAAAATCGTCCACACCTAGCATTATTAAGTTTTTAAAAATATGAAACATGCACTCTCTATACAATATAGCATGAATGATTTCTTCCAAACATTAAAAAAATACCTAAATAAGTTATTTCAAATAAAAAATGTGTCAGTTTAAGTGTAATGTTGTCACAGTTTAACATTAATTAGTATCTAAGTCGAAATTATGAACGTATCATTGAATTTTTTTCCACAATCACATTATCATTTATATTAAATGATTTGATAAAACGCACTTCTCATCGAGTGTTTTGTATAGTTTTCAATAAAGTCATATGGAGAAAGAGTTTATTATTATTTACCTCAATTTTATCATATACTAAACCCTCTTAATACCCTATTAATCCGTTGATGCCCTATAATATATTCTATAATTATATATCAGTAACAGCCCGGAGTTGGGAAGTTGGCGGTGTTTCACCCCCGTGCCTCGGAGAGCACGTAAAGCCGTCGGTCCTGCGCCTTAACTCTCACCGGTCGTGTCGAGTGGTCGTCCCACCGGAGTATGAGAGTGATAGGAATAGAGAGTGCACTTGTGTCTGCGCGTACACTTGAGCACTATAATATCTTCTGCGCAGTTGGCTAATCTCATTGAGATTGGCCGCCGTGGCCGGAATCGGCTAGGAGAACATCATCAATTTAAATTTAAATACGGACATTGACTTCATTACTAGGGTAGCTCCAAAAAATAGTGAAAATAAAAAAATTAAACCTATTATAGTGCGGTTTTTATGCAGATGGAAAAAGGACGACTTTTTATCATTGGTTCGAAAGCAAAAACTGAGTTGTAATGATTTGGGCTTCACTTCTAATAATAGTTTAATTTATTTTAATGATCATCTTACCAGTTTTAATAAGACACTTTTACATACGGTTAAAAAAACTGCCAAGGAAAAATGTTACCAGTATGTCTGGGTCAAAAAATGTTGTATAATGGTTCGTCGAACAAACACAAGCCCGGTCCTGCATATAACAACGCTTAATGATTTAAAAAAGATAGTTTAAGTACAATTTTTATATTTAAAGATGTTACTTTTTTCATATTTGATCTCACTGTAGTTTGTAATCGATTTGTATTTATATTTATATTGTTTTTCGATTTACTGAACAATGGTCTATACTTACTCATTACTACGATTATTTTACTGTTTAACATTTATTTTTTAAAAGTGCATATTTCTACGATTGGGCATGTATTATTACATATTAATTTTTGTGATTTTGTTTTTATTGTTTTTTTATATACTTGTTACTCTGGGTTTTTGATTGTTACTGAGAAGGGGCTATCTTTGATTATTGTGTCTCTTTCCAATTATGAGTAATACGCTTAATATACTTTACCAGAATGTACGTGGATTAAGAACAAAAACTAATACATTTTTTCGGAATTTGATGCAGCAGGATAATGATATAATTTGTTTGACTGAGACATGGTTACACGAAGGCATATTTGACTCTGAAATTTTTGATTCTCGGTACTCCGTATACAGAAGCGACAGGTGTTATCACTCACGTGGTGATAAAATGGGCGGAGGAGTTTTAATTGCCGTTAGCTCTAATCTTTCTGTATATTCCACTTCACCTATCATTTTAACAAATAATGCGGCTGAAATAATTAAAGTGTCAATTGTAACCAGTTCTGGTCCTCCCATGAAACTTCTGCACATATACTGTTGTTACTTTCCACATTGTAGCTCTCAGTATGAAGTACTCTGTGAATTGTATGATATTGTTTCTCATGATCGTCTCTGTTGTGCTGATGATAGCTTTTTGTTGCTGGGTGATTTTAATATTTCTGGGGCTACTTGGTCAAAAGAAAGTAACTATATGATTATTAATAATTTTAGTTCTGGTAATGAACTAATTAATTGTCTATATAACTTTCTTCAATTTACTGATTTTAAGCAATATAATTCCATTTCAAATGAGAATGGACGATTCTTAGACCTTGTTATTAGTAGTTGTGATAGCTTGGTTCATAGATGTATTGTTCCGCTGGTTGAAGAAGATGTTCACCATCCTGCATTGCAAATTCAAATTACGACGCCATCATCAAAACGTGATATATTTACAACCCGTAAAATACGCTTGTATCGTCAAGCAGATTACGAGGCAATCAATGAAGCTATACAGTGTGTCGATTGGTACGATATCTTAAATGACTGTGATGTCTCCCGGGCGGTTGATACGTTCTATGAAGTTATAAATTCTATAATCACTGATCTGGTTCCTGTGAAGATATTGAAGTATACAAATAATTATCCGTGTTGGTATACTCGTCCTTTAATTAAATTGATTGCTGAAAAATTAAAATACCACAAGAAATGGAAGATCTACAATAGGATATCTGATTACCACTCATTTGCTCTTCTACGGGAACGTCAAAAAATAATCCAAGTTCAATGCTATGATCAATATATTTATAATGCGGAAATTAAAATACGTAGTAACAGTAAATATTTTTGGTCTTTTATGAAATCAAAGAAATCGTCTTCAAGTCTACCTAATAGCGTATTTTTATTTGATCGTACTGCTGGGGAAGGGGAAGAGATGTGCTCACTTTTTAATGAATATTTTAAATCAGTTTACGAAACTCAACCCACTACACCATCACTTAAAACATACACAGATTGTAAAAATTGTAATTTAAATATTGGCCATATAGATTTGTCAGTATCGACCGTTAAAAAATATCTGAAATCACTAGATATCAATAAGGGCTGTGGACCGGATGAGATTCCTCCGGTATTTTTAAAGCAATGTTACAAATCCTTAGGTTATCCAATTTCGCTTCTTTTTAATAAATCATTACGTTCAGGCACAATGCCACTTGTTTGGAAGCGCTCGTTCGTTGTACCTATTTTTAAGTCGGGAGATAAACATAATGTTCAGAACTATAGGCCCATCTCTAAATTATGTACTATAGCTAAAATGTTCGAAAAAATTATCTATGACAGTATCTTTCCAATTGTAAGAGGTATTTTGATTAGTGAGCAACACGGTTTTGTTAGTAAAAAATCTGTTGAAACAAATGTGTGTGAACTAGTTCATCGTGTGGTGAAAGACATGGACGCTGGTGCTCAAGTAGACGTCATCTACACCGATTTCTCTAAGGCTTTCGACAAAATTTCTCATACTATCCTATTGAGTAAATTAGAGCAAGTTGGTATTCACGGTGATCTTCTTCGGTGGCTAAGCTCTTATCTCCACAATAGAAGTCAGGCTGTGACAATAAAGGGTTTTTGTTCAACGTTCGTTCCCGTTCCTTCTGGTGTACCACAGGGCTCTCACCTTGGCCCCTTGCTATTTAATATTTTTATAAATGATATTTGCCAAATATTTGATCATTCTTCTGTACTATTATTTGCAGATGACATGAAAATCTTTAGAAAGATCTCTAAACTATCTGATTGTTTACTATTACAAGAAGATCTTAACAAATTATGCAAATATTGTAACGAGAATTTTCTT